CTACCCCACACCAATGCAGCCATCATCCATGACACACGGGGGGAGGGAGGGAACCCTACCCCACACCAATGCAGCCATCGTCCATGACACACGGGGGAAGGGAGGGAACCCTACCCCACACCAATGCAGCCATGCCAGTGGGATATAGTGTAACTTCAGAAACTAGGGAATGTGGAAAACAGTACTGCTGGGAGTTGGTAACAGAAACTACTGCTATTAGAAAAGCCAGAGTGACAATACAAAATAGCAAGCAGCTCAAGGTATCTGAGAGCCGATGGTCAAGTGCAGAGGCTCCCAGGGAAACATCACGATGGCCATGGGTTTTACCACACAGCCCTTCGTTCGGGAACGTTATGTGCTTAGATCTTCATTAAGAAGTCTGGGAAGGAAGCCTTCCACGCTTGCAGAAGGTAAGTCGAAGCTAAAACTAGAAACTCCAAGTGCTAAGAGATTCCAGGTAAAGGACAGGCTGACTCAATGAGCTGCCTGAAAAAGTGGTCTCCAAAGAAAGGATGTTTCAAACTTCCAGCCTCTACTCATTACCCAATTCCAGAACTGCCTCCTGTTTAGGTGTCTGTTAGAGCAGCACCCCACCCTTGGCACCAAATTCTTAGTTCTCTAGTGCTGCTGTACCAGAAATATCCTAAGTGGCTGGCTTAGACACTCTAATCAAGAATGCAAAATTAATTCAAGCACAATCTATAAATAGGTAAATCCAAAATTTACTTTCTTACAGTTCAGGAGGCTACAAGTCCGAGCTCAAAGTGCTGGTTCTAAGGGCTCGGTGGAGGCTCCTCGATCCTGGGCTTCAGCTCTGCCTCCTGGGCCACAGAAGCAGCTGGAGCCTTCTGGCTCATGCTGGGACTGATGAGCTCAAGACTGACAGGTAACAAAGCAGTTGCTGGCTGCTGAGGCTGGCAGATCTAAGATGGGCAGGCTGTTGGCTCAAAGGCTGGGAAGGCAACAATCCCAAGGTCCAGAGGCAACACAGCAGCACTGGTTCAAGTCCAAGCACTGGAGATGATGATGGGCCACATGCAAGAGCAAAAAGCCAGAGACCTTTCCCAAAGCTCTTCCATGCACTCTGGAAACAGACCATACCCCACAGGCAACTCCCCTTCCACTGATTAGCTGCTCACAGCACATTCCACCATGGAAGTGATTACACTACATCTTATCTCATCCAGCTGCCAGGTTCGATACCTGAGCCCCGCCTCGGTCTCCCCAGCAGGTTCCGTATCCTGAGCCCCACCTCGGTCTCCCCACCAGGTTCCGTATCCTGAGCCCTGCCTCGGTCTCCCCACCAGGTTCCGTATTCTGGATTCTGGTTCCTTTGGCTCCCTTTAGTGAAACATGCCACATGCAGATCCCCATCCCTGAGGGGTCCTAAGAGTAGGCTTGCGACCTCTGACACTCAGGCCTGAGTGTGAGATCATGTGAGGCTCCTGTGGATGAACCAGAGCCCACAGGGCTTGTGCGAGCCAGCAGCCTGGAAGCCCAGCACCGCCGCCCTAGCTCTACAGGGCTCTCACTGGCCTTCAGAGAAGCTTCAAAGAAAAGCACCATGGGAACGCAGCGCCGGAGCAACGGCCCCTTGGTGAGGAAGAGTCCTCTCCTTGGGATGCCTACCAGAGCATCTTCACTCAGCATTCCACAGCCGACCTTTCCTCCTACTACATCAACTTCCTCTTTTTAAGAAAACAGAACAGCCATTTCTCATTCAACAGTGAAAAATACTAGAAAAAGACAAGCTCTGGTTAATTAGAATCTAACACATTCTGAGACACAGTGAATTTCCTGCATTTTTTTTTTTCCTTCAAGAATCTAAGATATTCTTTGTTCTCCAAATGTAACATAGCCATTGAAAACTACTAACTGAAGGAAGACTTAAAGAGCACGAACCCAAGTCGCAAAGAACTCTTTTTTCATAACAGGAATTCAGAAGCTCATGGAAGTGTTAGCTGGTAAGAGACAAGAGTGGGGATTGGCCTGGCCTGGCCCGAAATAGCCACTGAACCCACATGGGCAGGCTCCAGAGTCACCTGAAGAGGCTTCGTGTTACAGAGGTTAGAGACAGAGTTGAAAACCGTGTAGGTTTTACCCTACAAAGCTGGGTAGTAACCCCTCAAGAAAGTAACGGCAAGGCTGTGGAACAGCCTCTATCTCCCAATCCAGTCATCTCCTTCAATTCCAGTGAAAGAGGGAGCCAGGGAGCGACCAACTCATGAGCCCCTTCCTCCTGAGATTCAGAAGTCACTGCCTGTGGTAGTTCAGTTTGTGTGTCAACTTGGCTGGGCCTGGTTGAGGGGCTGGGCAGCTGGATGTAGTATTCCCCAAGATGAGACTGGCAATCAACTCCATGATGGGATCTACCACAAGCAGTTGAGTAGCTGCCTTTGGGATATGGTCTGCTTCCTATATATGAGTAGCAGCTTTGGGAATGGTCTCTAGCCTATGAGACGCTTGGATCCTGCATATAGCCATGTTGTTGTTCAGCAGCCTGCCATGCTCTGCTGACCTTGGGACTTACAATGGACTTAAATTAATGGCCTGCCGTGTGGTTTGGTAACATCGAGACTGTGCCTTTTCACTTGCCAACCGTGGGTTTGTCTGCCTCAGCAGCCAGCAGCTGCCTGAGTGAAGAAAGGCCTCTGGCTCCAGTGGGCCGGGAACAGGAGGCAGAGCTGGACCCCAAGGTTGAGGGGCTTTCACCCAGCCCCTAGAGCCTGGCACTTTGAACTCGGACTTAAAGCCTCCAAACTGTGAGAGAATAAGCTCCTGTTGGTTCAGGCTGTCCCGTCTGTGGTATATTTTTGTCAGAGCGGCACTAGGGAACCAGAACAAGCACTCAGGTCCATGCCCCTGCATGATGTACAGGCCATCCCGTTTGTGGTGTATTCCGTCAGAGTGGCACTTCTTGTTGTTGTTGTTGTTATGTGCCATCGAGTCGGCCCCGACTCATAGTGACCGCTCCTTGGGTTTCCGAGGCAGTATCACTACGAAGTAGGATTGCCCAACCTTCCTTCCGAGGAGTGGCTGGTGGGTTTGAACCGCCAAGCCTTCTGGTTAGCAGTCGAGAGGCACTAGGGAACCAGAACACTGCCCATCACGAGCTCCTTCATGAAGCACTTGACAGTGGATGGACAAGGGTCCCCTCATGAGTGTGCACTTGTATTTCAATGGCGTCCAGTTAGGTTTCCCGCTGGTGCCTGCCCCGCACACTGTGGTGAGCAGTACCGTCAGGCGGAACCAGCCTCCCAGGCAGAGTGCCTTTCACCCGCAGAGCTTGCTGCAGGTGAAGGAGGGAACAGGAACGGGGAAGGGGAGTGAGCATGCTGGGTATTTACTGACCCAGCCAAATTCAATCAGGCAGAAGCAAAAGGGTTCCCCGTCCCAGTAGAGCCCTTTCTCCCAGCATCAGGAAGCAGTGGGCAGGCAGAGCCAGTATCGCTGATAACTCCACCCCTAACAGTCATGCACCTCACATCCTTAGAAGAGCAACCCAGCCCGAGAATTAGAGACGTTTGTTTAGGAAAGTGGAGCAGACGCCAGAGGGAACAAGGACATGACTAAAAGGGAACACCAGGGCCTGAGGAACTGAGGAGAGAGTCTCTGAGAAATACAAGATAGATGGACTTCAAACACTGAGAGGCTGTGTTTCCAGACAGACCTAGGAGGAGCTGGCTAATGGGATGCTGCCGTCCCACTAATCCGGATGCCGAGTCCCACAGGAGGTCTTCTGACGTCCCCTGGGGACAAACAGTAGTGCCCACTGGTGCAGTGTAAATGGGCAAGAACAGTCCCGGTCCCAGGAGGACCAGACCCACTCAGCTCAGGGCTCCCAGTGCCAAGAAAACGAAGAGCCAGTCAAATCCCTGATCGGGGTGTCAGGGCAGCTCTGATGACAACAGTTCCACTGTTTACTGAGCCTGGGGCTTCAGAGGGAGCCAGGGAGGAGGGAGCAGACAGGACGCACTCCATTTGCCTCCAGGCAGCCAGGATCCACCTGAAACTCCCTGGCAGAAATAAAGAACAGGAACAAGAACCTCCTCGGCCACCATGCTAGCAACTCTATGTCTCATGGGTCCATGGCCAAAACCAGTCTTTAATGGATGAAGATTACACTAGACACAACAGCCGCCAGAATTTCCCCCTTACACCTCATGACAAGCGCCCTCCGTTACGTATTTAAAAGGACCACAGTACTAGAAGCACTGCTTTCTGCTTCTCTGGAGGAGGCGACCGACCACCAAGCCCAGCACCACAACTTTCATCAGAGCAGCGACACTGTTGCTGTCTCCACACTCATTTCTTCTGTGATCAGTTCTGCCTGGCGTCAATTACATACACAATTCCCACCAGCAAGGGTCAGAACCTACGAGCCCACTGGGTTCGTGGGATACAGCTTGTATGAATGCGACTGCAGGACCCAACAGCTTCATCAGCACTAAACTCTAATCAAGAATGCAAAATTAATTCAAGCACCATCTATAAATAGGTAAATATACAGAAACTAATGTTGATTGCCCCTCTGCCAGCAAGTCAGCTCTGACTCACAGCAACACTACGGAAGGGACATCCTGTTGATCCTGTTGGTAAAGCAGGGAACAGTGAGAAGGAAAAAAAGCCTTAATGAGACGGCTGCCACAGGGGTTGGGCTGCCACAGGGGTTGGGCTGCCACAGGGGTTGGGCTGCCACAGGGGTTGCCGCAGTGGGCTTAACACAGTAGCGACCATGAGGACGGTGCAGGACTGGGCGGCATTGCACTCTGTTGGACGTGGGTCCACTGGGAGTGGAGACAGACTCAACAGCACCAGACAACAAAGTCCATTCGTGGTTGCGGGCAGAGGGAGTGGGAGAAGTCTTCCCTAGGCAGGAGTCACTTTCTGTTTAAAGAAATGGGAAAGGTGGCACTGAATGGGGTAAAGTTTGCACAGCATGACCAGTGTAACTGATGTCAATAAGCTGTACACAGAGCAAAGGGCTGAAGGGGCAGATGCTGGGTTGTGTATGGCTTTGCAACAACAACAACAACAAAAAAAAAAAAATCAGAGAAAAACGGGGCTGGCTAGAGGTGCTGATACTAATTAGACATCACCAATCACCTCACAGGATTGGAACTAGTTCTCTTGAAGACTCAGAGCCATGGTCTTGTGGGACAATCCAGTCAATCAGCATAAATTAGTTCTTAAACTTTATGTTCTGCCTCTCAGTATGGTGAGTTGTATTTGGGGTCTCAAAAGCTTAAGAGCAGCCATCTAAGATATAACTACTGGTCTCTATATGTCTGCAACAAAAGGGAAAGAAGGAAACCCAAGAACCAGACAAGGAACTAGACTACAAGACTAATGGTCCACATGAACCACTGCTATTCCACCTTGAGACCAGGAAGAACTAGATGGTGCCCAGCTACCACTGCTGCACGTGCTAATACGGAACATAATAGAGAAATTCTGATAAAAAGGGGGAAAAATGTGGAACAGAATTTCAAACTCTTAAAGAATTCAGATATATTAGACCCACTGAAGGCTGAGTCGTCCCTGAGACTAAGGTCCTGAGTTGCTCTTCAAAATTTGAACTGAAACTACACCTTGAAGTCACCTTTAAACTAAGTAACAGTTTAGTTCAATGAGTAATCATCACCCTTGAGTATTACAATTCTTTCTTTTTTTTAATTATCTATATAAAACCAGAAGGGTCAACAGTTATTTTAAAGCACAGATGAGAAAGTTGGGGGTAGAGAGACTAAGTCAATGGAGATGAAACAACTAGAAGTGAAATAACAAGAATACTGAAACAATGTAAAGAATGGACCTAATGTCACTGACTGTGATGCCGAGACACTGTGCAATGGGAGTGGGCTTTGCTCTATGTTCTCCGTGACGCCCAGACACCGTGCAATGGGAGTGGGCTTTGCTCTACGTTCAACGTGACGCCCAGACACCGTGCAATGGGAGTGGGCTTTGCTCTATGTTTTCCGTGACGCCCAGACACCGTGGAATGGGGGTAGGCTTTGCTCTACGTTCACAGTGACGCCCAGACACTGTGGAATGGAGGTGGGCTTTGCTCTATGTTCACTGTGATGCCAAGACACTGTGGAATGAGGGTGGGCTTTGCTCTATGTTCACCAAAAATAAAATTTGAAATAAATAAATACAACTGATATCACGTAGCATTCTTCACTCCTTCCTTCCCAATTTAATGTGTCTTCTCTACATTGCTCAGCCGACCTCACAACCACAACTGTTTTCATTCAACCACACTTTCCTTTTGGCTATAAACATTTGTATGAGTTATAATTAATCTCACTAGATTTCAACTGAATTATTTTTCTCCAGTCTGGATAATAAACCCACTGCTATCAAGTCATTTCTGACTCATAGTGACCCCCTCCTTGGGTTTCCGAGGTGTTATCACTACGGAAGTAGTTTGCCCAACCTTCCTGCCAAGGAGCGGCTAGTGGGTTTGAACCACCAGCCTTCTGGTTAGCAGTCAAATGCCCTAGGCACTACACTACCAGAGCTCCTCTGATAATAAAAGTAGATGGGGAAATTATGCCAAATTTAGTACAAACACTTTGAGCTTTCCAGAAAAGTATTTCCAGATAACCCACTGCCATCAAGTCGATCCCGACTCACAGCAGTCCTATGAGGCATAGAAGAACTGTCCTAAAGGATTTCCAAGGCTGTGATGTAGTGCCTAAAGCATCTAACCGCTAACCAGAAGGCTGGACAATCTTCTTCCGTAGAGATCCCGCCTCGGAACCCCAAGGAGGGGTCGCTGTGAGTTGCATCTGACTCAGCAGCAGTGACTGCGTTTTACTGCATTTAAGTCTTTACAGAAGCAGCCGCCACATCTTTCTCCTGAGGAGCAGCTTGCAGATTTGAACTGTCAACCACCCAATTAGCAGCTAAGCACTTTAGCCACTGTGCCACTAGTCGTTGTTGTTGTTATGTGCCGTCGAGTCAGCCCTGACTCATAGAGACCCCTCCTTGGGTTTCCGAGGCAGTATCACTACAGAAGTAGGATTGCCCAACCTTCCTTCCCAGGAGTGGCTGGTGGGTTTGAACCGCCAACCTTCTGGTTAGCAGTCAAGTGCCTTAGGCACTATGCTACTGTGCCACTAGGGCAATAAAAAACACATTTAAGTCTAAGTTAATATCCAGCCTGTACAGTGCTCACTTTCTCAGGCAGATTAATGTTGGAAGCTTTGATGGTCGTAAGTGGTCCTTGTGAACCACAACAGGCCGAAGCACTGTTTGACTGTGAGGCCCCGACAGGAAGCCAACGCATGATGCAGACAACCACTCAGCAGATGCACCTCTAAGGCTTGCTACATTTTAAGATAATAAAACAATTCTTAAAGATTTTTCATCGAAGAAGAAAATTACTTACTCCAGAAGAATATTATTCATATCTTGTGTAAAGAATTTTTTCCTTCCCTCTTCATCAAAGAGTTTGGCAGCCTAGAAAAACATAAGATTATTAGTGTAACTCACAAACAACAGTTACTTTGAGATGAATACCTAATGAGAAAAACCCAGGGACTTCACGTCAGTAGAGGACCACGTGCTGTGGTCCCGGATCAGACAAGGTCGTCGGCACCAAACTCGTTTCCTGCAGCTATAGTGACTAGTGATCCCAATGGACATTCCATCTCTCCCAGTCCCGGAGGACAGACGCTGACAATGTGCTCCCTGGGCTGAAAGCCAGGTGTCAGCAGGGCTGCACACCCTCAGAGACCTGGGGAGAAGCGGGTTCTGTTCTACCGAGTTTGGGGCTGCCAGCATTCCCTGATGCGTGGCTGCATCATCTTCAGTTCTCTCTGCTCCCCTTTCACATCCCCTTCTTGTCTATGTGAGTACAATCACCCGCTGCCTGCCTCTCTGCTCAGGAGACATGTAATGGCACTGAGACCTCCTGGAGAATCCAGGCCACTCTGGGTATTTGCGGGTTTGTTTTTTTTCTTCCATATAAGTAGCATGACAGATTCCAGAGATTATAATGCAGATATCTTTGGGGGAACCATTTTCCAACCTTCCAGAGATCATGTCAAAAATCTGTGAAAGTGGCATGATGCTAAAAATAACAAAAGGTTAAGTCCCACCCAGGTTAAGTTCCATCCAAAGACACTGGGAGACACTACAGCTAAAGAAACACAGAGCCCGATCCCGTGTTGACCCAACTGAAGCTGCAGATGTCTGCATGTAGACAGCGGCATCTGGTGACACCGGGACCTCGAGTCCAAGGATGCAGGCTGTGACCACAGCAGTGTAACTGACACACCAATTCTAAGTCGAGTTCCCTGAATTCCAGCAGGATCCCTTACAGGAACCCAGCTGACAATAAGCTAAGCTCTGTGATGGGCCCACAGGCTGGAAAAGGGGCAAATGAACCCCAAGATGGTCAGGAAAGGAGATGAGTAAAGGTGATAACCTCCAAAAGTAAGTTAAAACCAAATATGCAGAGAATAATATGCAACTGACGGTACAAATGCTGCATAACTTAAAAGGATTTTTAAAAAGATGGTGTAGTGAAGGAAAAAACCTGTATTTAAAAAGACAGAATGTGAATTACAAACCAGCACGAAGTTCATAAATTCAATCATTGTAAAAAGTCATAAAAAGTCTGACACTGAGAAGTAAAGCACAGTCTCCTCTTCCTCCTGCACAGGCTTTCCCAGGGCTGCCTCACGAGGCAAAACCAGAGTGTTGGTGAGCTTTCAAGCTGTGTGCTTTACAAGCCTTTACAGGCCATAGTCTGTTTCGGTCCCCAGTATCCACACACACCTCACAGCAACACGCAGTGGGCCTCTCTCAACGTATTACTATTCACTTCCCTCAGGACCTGCTTTGTCCTCGCCATAAAGCAGGCAATTCAGGAGTGCTGAGACAAACCGTGCACACTCAGTGCCCTTTGAAAGGTCCATGTTTAATTTCTCTCACTTCTCCTAAATGCAGAAATTATACTCTGACTGTCTCCAAGGTTTGTCAATTCTCACTGTGGTTGCCCAGGGGACTGAGCAAGGGTGCCTCGCCATGCAGAGCCAGGAGTGACTGTGCACGGTGGCTCGTGCGTCCTCTCCCGCCCCTTCTCATCATCGTCTCTGTTGCTGGCTGCCCCCGAGTCAGCCCCAGAAGGTATGCGAGGCTGGCCTTTCGGAAGCAGGTTTCCAGGCCCGTCTCTTAAGGAGCATCTCTCTGGGCTCAAACCACCAAACGTAGCCTAATATTAGGGTAGATATTATAGCCCCTATGCTGGAAAAAAGGAAACTAAATCTTACACTAAAAACCAAGCCCAGTCCACTGCCATCGAGTCAATTCTGACTCACAGCGACCCTACAGGACATGCCCCATAGGGTTTCCAAGGCTGTTAGTCTTTACAGAAGCAGACTGCCTCTTCTTTCTCCTGTTGAACAATTGGTAGGTTTGAACCACCGACCCTTAAGTTAGCAGCCAAATGCCTTAACCACTGTGTCAACAGAGCGCCTTAAAGCTTACACAGGTTACTAATGTGTAATAAGCAGCGGATCCAGGGTCTAGACCAGAGCGTTCAACTTCAGCTGTGCAGCAGTGCCAACCAGCACAAAGATTAGAACCTTCAGAAAAACAAGAAGATTAGCTGAAGTCCAAGGAGAAGCAGACAGATTAAGTAAGTTTAAGGATAATGCTTCCACCACTGTCTCTGGCTCAACCAGTCGACCAAAAACAAAGAGTATGTAAACAAGACACTGCCATAACCACGAGGGGCAGAATACTCCTCGAGATGCACACGCCGTAGAGCACTGAGGCCGGTCCAAGAACCCGAGCAAGCCCGGCCAACCCCGTCAATCCGCCAAGCTCCCTGACAACTCCACATGCTATAAATAGGAGAGCTGCTTTCTGAGAAGGACACCAGTGCTTCCTAGAAAGGGCGCAGACAGAGTGCATGCAGGGGCAGAGCACAGGAAGAAAGCCGGAAGGAAACACAAACTTCAAGGAAGGGAATCAAAAACCGTCATGACACCGAGCAGTGGGAGAACGTTACAGGGCGAGACAGTATAGCAGAGACCCCTTCTCAGACAGACCTGAGCACTTTGGCTGAGGGTGAACTCTCATCTCCTGAAGCAAGAGCACCAGCTCGTACTGCAAGGAACACAACGGAGAACTCCCAGGCAGCAAGTAAGTGAAACGCATCCTGCTACAGAGAATTTCCTGGGAAGGGGCCGGGAGAAGCCATGCAACCCAGGCAAGCCTCCTCCAGAGACAGACAAGCACGTGTGACATGAGACATGACCAAGCCCCACAACCTTCCAATCCACCATGATGAACCCGTTTTGATGATCAAGTGAGAATGACAGCCTATACCCCATCATTTATTAAAACTGCTGGGAAGCACGGCCGTCCTGACTTTGAACCCTGGGGGAGCAAACTACCGGACTGTGGGCAAATCGCTTGCGAACCCCAGTTCCTCCTCCACTGACTGGTTGTGGGGAACAGACCACAAAGCACCACTGGACTGCAGGAAATGAACAACAGCCACTATTATGCATAACTACATCCTGAAAGCTTGACTCGGGTTTGTCCTTGTGGGAACACAGACAGACGCATGGTTACTAAAGCTGCTGACTTGCAGGTGAAATAGATCTTCAACTAACTAGATACCAAGAGTGTGGACCCAGTTCAGGCAACTTCTGCTCTTGTTCCCTGCTTCTCTTCATACCCCTTACATGACTGTGCAGCTAGTAAACATGGTGCTCACGAGACCCATGCCAAAAAGTTTATGTTACAAGGTGAAATGAAATAATGGAACTATCAGCTGTCTCCATGTTACACTACAGTCATTTCTATTTAAAAGACAAGGCCTATGCACACGGCCAATGCCTACAAGGAAGCAGGGAAAAAAAGTAGCTGCTGCTACAAGGGTGATGGGATAGGGAACTGTCATCTTGAAACGAGTTTTCACTGTAACGTTCGTTCAGCAAACAAAAACCGAGAGAATCGCAACACTTACGACGCGGAGGTCTTCGATACGTTTTTCAAGCAGTACAGGTAGACCCTCTGGAAGCGTGGGCACCAGCCTGGGCATCCCCTGAGAGGCGTGGCTCGGCTGGGTAGCGTTTCCATTCTCTCCCCCTGACTCAGAAAGGGGGCTGCCATCAGAAGCAGCGTCCAGTAATCTGTCAAAGTCAAAATCATCAAGCATCTCTAGGGCATTCTCCGCCTCCTGAAGCAGTTCATGTTCATTTGTGCTAACAAAAATGGGGAGGTCTGGATGGGCACTGCTCAGGGGCAAGTCCGAGACGTCATTTCCCAACACGACTGCGGCAGAAGGGGGCTTGTTCAGAGCGGAGGCCTGCAAGGTCACTGGGACTTTGGGGTGAGACTCCTTCTTCTTCAGAGCATCCTTCTCCTTCTGAAATTTCCGGATCATGGCAGCCAGAGAAAGAGAATCTTTATAACGCTTCTTCTTTTTTTCAGATTTGTGTGAATTTAGAGCTACAACCCTGTGAAGGAAGAAAATGAATGGTGAGGCTATGCATGATATTGAAGGTTAAAATCCCCTGTAAATAAGGAGACAGAGAATTAAAGGTCCTATCTGCTACCACCCGCGGACCCATCTCACTCTCCCTACCCGGGAGCAGAACAGCTGCGTGAGGCAATCAGACAGCTATGTGTCATTTTCAATGACACCACCTTCCCTCCAGGAACTAGGAAGAAAGGAGGGTCTCAGCACAGCTATCACTTCTAAGGACTCTTCTCCAAATCCCATGGCTCAGATGCTTTGACGTATACCACAAAGAAACCCAAACCCACTGCCACAGAGTCCATTCTGACTCACAGAAACCACAGGACAGAGCAGCACAGCCCCCTAGGGTTTCCCAGGCTGTGAGCTTTATGGAAGGAGCCCTGGTGGCACAATGGTTAAGCACTCGGCTGCTAACCAAAAGGATGGCAGTTTGAACTCACCAGCAGCTTCATAAGAGAAATATGTGGCAGTCTGCTTCCATAAAGATGACAGCCTTGCAAACGCTATGGGGCAGTGTTACTCTGTCCTACAGGGTTGCTATGCGTCAGAGGTGACTCAATGGCAATTTTTAAGTCTTTACAGAAGCAGACTGCCACATCTTTCTTCCACTGAGCAACTGGTGGGCTTGAATCGCTGACCTTGTGGTTGGTGACCAGTGCTCAACCATGGCACTAGGCTGCTTCGGTGTTCTCTACAGGACTCAAAAGATAATTGGTATCTTGGAGGCAAGTCCAGGGTTCATTCAGGTGCCTGGTATACAGCAGCCGATCAGTAAGTATTTGCTGAGTCAGTAGGTTACAATGTCGAGCAAAGGACAAAGTCAGTAATAGGCCTTACTGTCGAGCTCTGGTTCCTAAAGAAGCCAGTTCGTAACGAACACTTATGTCAACCACCTAGTGTTTTCCTTTGTAATTTCTTAATGATTCAAGGGTCACTAAGGTCCCAGGCTTAGGAGGGGAGAAACACTTTCCTCCATCAACCTTTTGGACACTGATAGCCACAAATTCTGATGCAAGCTCCTTGCCATAGAGGGGAGAAACATCAGCCCGACAAGGTGCTTTTCCTTAGTGTAGCACAAGAAGCCAGAGACAACGAGGGGCAATCAGTGCAACTGTTTCATTGTTCTGACTGACAGCTTCTGAGAAATCGATTTCATTTTTTCATTTTATTTTATTTTTCACTTTTTTTGTGATGAAAACATACAAACAAGACATTCGCCAACACAACTTCCACACTGACAGCTCAGGGCACTGATGGCATTTTCATGTCGTACCACCATACTGCTACCCTTTTCCAGATATTCTACCACCACTAGCATAAACTCAATGCCCCACGTACTTGGTTTTTAGAGGCAATATGGTTACTTAGAATCATAAGCCTTAAGAGTGGCAAAATAAAACCAATGACAATTCTCATATTAAAACCACCACAAGTAATGCACACAGAAGCTACTGCCCGGCCCCAACTCCCAGGCTTCAAAGCTTGGTTTTAGTACCAAAAGCTTACAACAACTCGAGCAATGTTTACATCATCTTCTCAAACTTGTTCTGGTTAATAAGAAATTATAATGAGCCAAAAGTCAATGAACCTGTCTAGAAACGTGCCCTATACCACTGTGAGTCTTCACCAAACCTGGTGCCATGGAGTAGATTCCAACCCACAGCGACCCTACAGGGCAGAGTACAACCACCCCTTAGGGCTTCCAAGGCTGTAATCTTTATGGAAGCAGAGTGCTGCAAGCTTTCTCCCACAGAGCGGCAGCCGGTAGGTTCAGACTGTGGACCTTTCGTTAACCGCTAAGCCATGAGGGTTCCTTTACCTACTAATAGGTACTACCATGTTACTCACATACAACAGGCCACTAAATCTATAAATACTGTAGTACATCAGACCCAGCTTACACTGAATGGATTAGTGCCAAGTCTGTCCTTATAAAGGTGAAGTAGTCATATTTAATTTAACATACCCTAGTTGTTTGGGTACTTTTTTCCTTGGCTTCTTCTCCTTTTCCCCTTCCTCTTTCCGTTTCCTCTTCTTCATCTCAATATCATCTTCTTTTATTTTGGAAACCTGCAAAATGAACAGAGAGAGAATGCACACTCGTCCAGGTACCAGCGCCTTACACTCTGACACTAGCCATCTGGTATCCCAGCCAGTGGAGCACTTCACCTTTCAGTGGGCCTGACAGTTCCCTGCTCCAAGTGCAGACCTTTCTGAAGTCATCGTCACACTGGACAGCAGTTGAGCTTCCACAGTTAAGAAGGTCTGCCTGGAGCACTGAGCTCATTTAACAACTCTCTCTATGGGATCAAAGTGAAGAGCAGCTGGAGATAGCAGACAGGCAGCTCAGGAGCGGGGAGGAACAACTCAGAGAAGAAAGGGAAGACAGTGCACAGCTCCGAGCACGTCACCAACGTCAGTGAACTGTACGTGAGGAAGTGTTGAACTGGTGCACGTTTTGCTGTGCAGATTTTCAACGATAACAGAACAAATAAAATTTGAGGGGAACAAGAAAGTGCAGATCCTTGAGTTCCATGAGCACCACCACCACCTCCTCTATACCCCCCTAGCCCACAGCCTAGTCTTGCTGTGGGGGTCTGGGGCAGGGCCTGGCTTCATTATAGATGAGTAATGTGGTGGTTCCACGTAAGCAGTCTTTGAGAAACACTCATCTATGGTCACTCATCTATCCATTTCCCAAATCCCATAAACGCAAATTCCACTGAGTTTGCTTTACAAACTACATCAGAGGGAAGGTCACACAGCCACTGCCAATCATTTCTACACCAAGGCTGAATTTACCAGAAATTGCAGATTATGAGACCACATGTGCAGAGAGAAGTTTTAAAAGCAAACATAACCCTACTATGATCTAAATACCTAACCATTTCCCTTTTCTCCATAACTTTACTTTAAAGCATGTAATTAACTACAGATTCATTAACCAACGGTTTGCATTTCACTTTTCCTTGCATTTCACAGCTGTGGCCCACGGAAAGCTTTGGGAAAGCATTCTGTTAACTGACTGTTCTCAGTACTGCTGCAACGCCAGCCAAACTCACTTTGGGTAGCTTGTGCTTTTGGTTGTCGGTAACATCTTCCTCTTCGGTATCTGAGGCCTGGCGAAACTGGAGTGTGCCAGTGTTGATGTAAAAGCCGCCATACTTGGTGGTCAGAGAAGCAGGAACTAACTCATCATACTAGATTAAAAACAAAACAAAAAAAGGTTTCAGATGCATCCTATGGTCTTTAGTTCTGTAAGTGTCTGTCAGAGAAAGACATTCGCTGTGTCAGCATCTCCCTCAATCTCAACTGAAAAACGACGTTCCAGACAACTGCAGTGAAGATGGCCGGGCACAGCCGTGGTCCTGCAGCAGTATGCACAACAGGAGGGGCGGGCCAGCAGCCTAGGTGCCCTTCACTGTGAATGGACCAGCAAAGCACAGCACATACGCAGAACAGAACACGACGCAACCACAAAGAACCATGGTGAGTCTGTGACAGAGCATGTGTGTGGCTCTGGCCAACACAGCACCGAGTTAAGTAAGTGACTCAAACAAGGACAAATACTGTAAGATCACACTTGTGTAAGAGAAGCAGAGACAGATGCACAAAGGTCAGCGTTCACTGGTGGTTACAGGGAGAAGGCAGAATCACTCTCCAGAGTGGAGAGACTTGTTATTTTTGGCGATCGGAAACATAGCACAGGTGGTGGTGTAATGAGCACAGGCTGACCAAAGTAAACGATGCCACCAAGAAGCGCACAAAGGAAAAGGACGTTTGTGCTAAAGAATGGGACATCTATAATACGGCAACACTACCACCAATAAACCAAAAATAAACTGAGTGCATAATCACATTATGTAGGTGTTTGGGCACATATGTGCACAGAGGTGTGTCTTTACATACATGCACACACTGTTATATGTATGCACGCACATACATTCACAGAGGACACAGTTCCAGACACTTCTCAGACAGAACCACCTTGTGAGAATGGTTTTCTGGGTTCGAAAAATTCTGTGATGCCACTTGACTGAGCTGTCCCATGAGACTAAGGTCCTATGCTTAGGATTCAACGACTCAGTCAAGTGGCATCACAGAATTCATGTGCTGTGTCCTAGTGAGGAAAGCAGCGTCTGGGGTCTTCAAAGTTTGCCACATAAGATACAACTATTGCTCTCTAGTCATCAGGAGCAAGAGAGAAACAAGGAAACCAAAGTCTCAGAGAAAAAAACTGGTCTATAGGGCTGACAGCCTACACGAACCACTGCCTCATCTACCCTGAGACCAGAAGAACTAGATGGTGCCCAACTGTCATTACTGACCATTCTGATCAGGACCACAACAGATGGACCTCCACAGAACAGCAGAAAAATGCAGAATAGAATTGAAATTTTAAATAGTCCAAACTTACTGGCCCAGTTGAGACTAGAGGACTTCCTGACACCACTGTCCTGAGATGCTCTTTAAAACTTGAACAGATACTATCCTCACCTGTTAGTGAAATAACAGATTGGCACACGAAATAAAGGCTATTACCCGTGCATACAATGCTCTATTACACAACCGTCCAGACAAAACCAGAAGGTCAGCAATCACACTGAAGCAAAGACGAGAAGGTAAGAGGGTGGGGAAACCAGAGCTCTGGAAACAGAAACACCAGAATGCAGTTAAAGAGCATGTCGACACACCGAGGAAAATGTAGCTGATGTCACTGAACAACTGGTGCTGAAATTGTCAACTGGAAACAATTTGCTGTGTAAACTTTCACCAAAAAAAAAAAAAAAAAACCTGTTTGTAGAGTAAGTTGAAAATTAGGTCTGATCATTAGGTATTTATTAAGAAAGAAACTTCTGGAATAATGAAATAAATGTGAAGGATCACTGCTACTATTCCTAATGGCAAAAGGTTCTGTTGAGAAGTGGAAACAAGGAGCAAATTTTGTTCATAAAATAAAGAAAAATAAAGTCATTTCTTCTGTCTCTGAGCTCAGCTTTTGTCTAAGTGGGGAAAACTTTAAAAACAACATTTCAAAGACCATTAGTGCTTATGTATTTTAAGGGCAAGGAGAAAAATCCCTGCCCGGGTCAGAAAGCATCTACTGCCACGGGTCTGCAATGAGCTGAGTGCTGTGCACTTTGCACTATGCACGGCCACCGAATGCCTGCATCAGACTGGCGGTCTGATCCAAAACGAATCCTCATGTCCTCAAAACCTGGATCTGAATGTTTCTCATTACCTCACCTGACGAAGAGGGACTGAAAAATAATAAACAAATGAAGGCCAATCTTAATGGAAAGGAGGGTTTGTGGTGGGAGAGAAAAGGGACTCCGTACTCAACAACAGTGAGGTCCCTGCTCCCTGGCATGTCTACCACTGGGGCTCTTCCAACTAGATGACCCGTCTAAGCTGGACTTCCAAGGAGAATTCTTTACTAGAGGCAAGGATATACACGGCTTACAAGTTACCGTAGGAATTAAGGGTAAACCCAATGCAGGTGAAGTGTGGTGTGCACAGTTTGTCCAAGGTAAAGGAAGACACCAGGAGGCACATGAAGAGTGAGGGGCAATTTTGGTCAACTGTAACATACAATTCTGCAACAACAACAACAAGGATGATTAAATATTTGTGTGGCTGCACAGGCAGACATGTGTGTGTGTGTGTGTGTGTGTCTAGGAAGGCACGTGTGAAGATAAGCATGTGTGTACAGGGTAACTGCAGGCACATGTGTGCACATGTTTATGTGCACTGCCAATATTCATATCCATATCGATATATACATATATAAATATAAAACCAAACCCACTGCTGTCAAGTCGGATCCGACTCATAGAGACCCCTCCTTGGGTTTCCAAGGCAGTTATCACTGTGGAAATACATTGCCCAGCCTTTCTTCCAAGGAGTGGCTAGTGGGTTTGAACCGTTAGCCTTCTGGTTAGCAGTCAAAATGCCTCAGGCACTATGCCACCAGAGCTACTTCATATACATACATATATAGATAGATAGATAAAAAACCTCATGGGGGCATAGTTACAGATACTCCCAAGACATAATACCTCACGAGACTGGTTTCCTGGGTTTGAAGTACTGGGACCGCAGCCTCCTGGGCCAGCTTGGTCAACTGGCATAAAGAAGCTCACAAGGGTAACGCCCTACATCCTAATTTGCTGAGTAATGTGTAGGGTTTTAAAAGCTTGAGAGCAGCCATCTAAGATACAACTGTGGGTCTCTTCCCATCTGGAGCAGTGCAGAGTGCAGGAAACCAAAGGCCCAAGGAAGACAGTCCCCAAGAACCAGATGGTGCCCAGCTACAACCAGTAACCACGCTGACACAAGAGAAGGTCCTGGGTAGAATGGGACAAAAACGTAAAATAAAACTCAAATTCCTAAAAAAGGTCAGACTTACTGGACTAGCATAGACCACAGGAACCTGTGGGGCTATCACCCTAAGATACACTTTGAACTTGGAACTGAAGCCACACCCAGTGATCACCTTTCCTCCAAGTAATAGACTTGTTCATAAAATACATAATATCACCTGTGAACACTAGCATATTGCCTTAAATAATCCAATACATGACCCAAAATAGTCAACACTGACCCTAAAACAAAGATGAGAAGCTAAGGAGGGGCAGGGAAGCCAGGTTAATGAAAACAAAACAAACCAAGTACAAGTAATGAGAATGCTGCCACATTGGGGAAAATGCCATCAAACAGCTGTATAAAAATTGTGCCACAGGAGTAGCGACTGGGACCTTAAAAGCTAGGAAGCTGCCATCTAGATGCAACAACGGGTCTCTCCTCGTCAAGAAGAAAGAAGAAAACCAAAATTAA